TCTGAAAACTGATTTCCAAGCGCCAACAGCTCGCCGGCCGGCGCAGCCCGCTGAAAGTAAGCCTGAAAGCCAATGCAGTGCCACTTGACCCTGCGCGCCTCACTATCATGAGCACGTTTGCTGTGCGCACGAACCGCATCCTCTTCCGCAGCTGGAGCCCGCTTAACAGCAGGCCGGCGGCCGGCGGACTGAGTAGTTTGTTCCGGTTCGAGGGTTCAGGGCTGACCACTAAATCTCAGAGATTGAACTGTCAATTCTGAGTCTGAAGCCCAAAGCCCTAACCCCCTAAGCCCCTTGCTTTAAATCTCAGAGATTGAACAGTCAGTTCTGAAGCCCCAAGCCCTAACGCTCTAAGCCCCTTGCTTCTTGCCCGACACGAAGGCGCGAGTCCGAAGAAAAAGCAGAGCACCTCAACGACGTACCGCACCCAGTGATGAGTGATACTTTGGGTTTCAGGGAGTAAACCCAAAGTGCCAGAAATAGGGTCCGGATGTATAAGAACGGCAAACGATTGCAATAGCTCAGTACAGATCATACAGGGGTACGTTCATGTATCCATGAAGCAGCACTTGGTTCCCACTACACCGCCTCGTCATTCTGGTAGTCTTTGTCGCACTGGCCGACGAGGACAGTGGCCCTTCCGCACCACATACCTACCAAGCCTTGACCGGACCATGCCCATCAGAACTACCCAGAGAGCACAACTACCCCCCGGACCCTAATAGAGTAACCTAAATATATAATAGGATCCTTAGTATGAGGACCCCAAAATCAGATACCCGCTCATTTAACACGTCTATCATATTAAGGAGCCTCGAGACTTGACAAGACAATCCTTCTCAACCGCTTTCTGGGTACCCGAACACGCTTCCCTGACGATCACCACGGGATCCCGAAGATGGCTATATTAGAGGCTTTCCAAATTGGTATACGGGCTGTTGATGGGCATAGTATACTTTGAAGATTGAACTGTAAGGAATATTTTTGAGCTTCTTCAAGCTTGTAAAACATAGCAACAGGAGTTTCAGAAAAGGAAGTACATTACATGGTAAGGCTTTACTATCTCAAAACAGCAACAGCACTTTTTTTGTTATTATGGAAGCCTTAAAAAGAAGGGGTGTTAGTAGGGAGTTAGTGAGAGTCTTAGAGATTAGGAAGTTGGGAGACTATTGGCAAATTTGTCTTCAAAAGGTTTTTCTGACTCCAATTTGTCACGGGCAGTCCTGATGGTGTTATTAATTACTCCGGACCCTGTTGTTTGACAGTATCTTGCAATACCGTCAGCACGCTCTACACAATACTATGACATGTCTCTCAGCGTTTGGATACAGCAGGATTCGTTCTATCAGCCCTACCACCCAAGCAGATGCATCGGACCCGTAATGTAGTTGCGCCCACATCGGAACCGTAATGCCCTCCATGTAGGTCAAGGTTTCGCTGAGCTTGGAGATAACGGTGTAGGGTATAGGGGTTTAGGGGCTTTCACTTTACGATTTCAAGCTTCGGGCAGTCTGGTCCGTAGATCCCTGACTCAGGTCATGCGGGTAGGTGGAGCAAGCCCCCGACCAACAGGGGAAGTGCCGGCAACTCTGCTCATATGGTGTTGCTTCGAGCCCTAACCCCAAGCCCTCAACCATAAAGTTCTCCTAAGCCCTGGGATTACATCCCTGAACCCCCTTCTTTTGCGTCGAACTCAGGCACAGTTTCTTCGGGCAGCATGGCCACAAAACTCCACACTTCTCAACCCCTGGCGTAAAGTCTGAAACCCGACCCCCCTCAGTCTTGCACTCACAGGAAGCAACGAAGAATTCCTGCGTTGGGTTTCGTGCTCGGTGTCTTTGAAGTCAACCGGAGCCAAAAAGAATCGCTCTGATGTGAGGCGGTGGGTTCCGGGCCTCACAGGTCATATAAGAGTTTTAGGGAGCTGGACTAACATTCAGTCACCTAGTGGACCTAGTCAGTATAAGTCTAAGGGATGACGGTTCAATGGTTTCCGCTTATCCGGGTTACCGTAGGCCCTGAGTTGTGGATCACCTGAGCACCAAGATTTCTACACCAATACTTTATTGCCGAAAGGAGGTTGCTTATGAAGACACCACATCCCCAAACCTTACAAACAAGAAGAGCTAGTGCATCCTAGGTTGACCTTTTGTCATCATGCCTGTCTAATTAGTCTCAAAGGTACCTTTCAATTCTCCTAGGATACTGGACAAGCAAGTAGATGGGGACTTCCGAAAATAGGGAACCCTCATAAAGTACTCTAAATAGTAGGATCCTTATTATAGGGGCCCCAAAATAAGGTACCCCAAATTTTCGGAAACCCCCAGGTGATCGCAGTCCAACCTCCTTCCAGCTCGGGTTCCTCCTCGGGCAGCTGGAGCACCACAAGCAGCGAGCAACCTGCCGCCGCTTAGAGCCTAGTGTTGGTTGTTAGGATTGCTTTTTGAAGGGCTAAGATGCAGAATTTGGGGCTAGACCTTTCTTTGCGGGGGCATTCTGCTGTTATTGCGGGAGAACCCCTGGACCCAGCTGAGCTTGCACAAGCCATGGCGTTCTTGTGTTGGAATAGACGGAGCAGGCGATTGCAGAAACCCATGTGCCCAGGAACCTTAGAGACCTCGACATTCAGATGGAAGTTGGAGGAACAGGGGCCAAATACACCCGAACCCCTGGATCCCCAAGCCTTGAACCTTAAGCCTTAAGCTTCCCACGGCGGGAACTGCACGACTCAACATCTCGCCTGGCTGCTTCGAGGGCCAGCCGGGCTTTTCTAAGGCTCTCGAGGGACGGTAGAGTGCCCGATGGAGGAAGCCTGAAGGTTTTGGACTTATGAGCCCTACTGTCACTGTATCTCCCCCTTAGGCCACAAAGCCTCTCTCCCTCTCTCCCTTGAGGCAGGATCTCGATGGCAAGGCACCGGATCTTACGCAGTAGGATCTACCTCTTGGTGGTGTTTTGGTTTGAGTACTTTTCTGGTTCTGGTCATGATTAGGCTTAGCATCCCCTCATAGCCCCTTTAAAGCTGTAGCAATTACAATCTACCCCAACGAAATCCGACTCTAAGAAGGCACCCACATCACTGGGCTTCGGTGCTTTTCGGGGGTCTCAGCCCAGCCTTCCTTCCTCCACGCAATCGGACGAGTGGATCAGAGAGAGATCTTGGGAAAGAGGCCTCCAGTTCCACCAGATATTTGGGAGACTGGGGCTTAAGTCAGTGGGAGTCTAGAGAGGGCAACTATACACAAGATCAGTCAGCCAGGCGTGACTCTACTTACTTGGAGCGTTCTGTGGGAGTTTTGGGTCGATACCGTGTTCCTTCGCGCCTTACTCACACGGTTTGCAGGGGCTGTCGTTTCGCTAATGACAGTGGTGGGGTCTTGGGTGGCACAGTGTGCATGCTTCTCCGGGCCTCCGAATCGCAACCATGCAGGAAGCTTGACATCTGGAAGGAGTAGGGACTCTGGTGCTTCAGGACTCCAGTCACTGCTAACTCTCATGAACTCACGAAGGGAGCCCAACTGTCCATGACCAAGGCACCTTGTACAACTTATAAAATTGGGGTAATATGCCATGCTGTGGCTGTGCGTGCAACTCGCATGTAGTCTTTCCCAGCTCTGAAGCTTCAATCCTCAGCCCTGCAAAGGGAAGAAACGTCGTTCTTTGGTTCGGTTAGAGAGCTAACTTCCAGCGGTGTTTCCTGCTGCTACGATTGCTCCTCTTGTGATAAGCTGATAAACAGAGCGTAAGAGACATTGGCCGATCAACAAAAGCCTCCAAAGTCTAACCTGGCAAAGTGTATGAGCAAAACCCGGCGTCCCTGAGAGGCATCGCCGGAACCGGCCCCACAACCTGCGCCAGCCGGGTCCTGACCGGTGTTTTTAGCTTTGGGGTTTCGCGTTGGTTTTAAGTTTTGGATTTAGGTTCGAACTCAGGATTTCAGGGCCGCAGCTTTACGACGATATGTGGTAGCAAAAAATCTAGAAGTCGTGATCAACATCGTGCTGGCTTTGGCCTTACCTTACGGGTCGAGGGCACATGCATACCTGGAACCTGACGGCGAGATTTCGATCCCTCTAATTGTGGGAAGGCCAAGTCTTGTCGTGAAAGGCAGAGAACTGCAGAGTTCTCATGGGTCGCTCCGGTGCAGCTTTATCTACGGAAGTCTGTACAGCCGCATGAAAGACTCCTCCTGCATACAAGCCTTTGGTTTCGAAAGTCAGAGGTCCGCGCAGTGACCCTGGTGAATGTGGCCCGGTAAAGGGGCTGTCCAAAGCGCGCTGGATAAGGGGATCCGAAGCCTTAAAGCAAAAAGCTGACTGTCAGCTTCTAGTATGGCACTTCTGAACCGAGATACCTCGTCTGGCGGAGTCGTAGTTGCGAGAGCGTATAAAGCAAAGAACTTCGCACAGGATTGTAAGGCAGAGCATTACAGAGGTCACAGTTGTCCACTGCCAGAGTTGAGAGACCCAGTTGATCATGGAGCCCCTGGAGAGCATTTTTTCTAGAGAAGGTTCCTCATTTTTCGCAGGGTCTCTGTTGTGTTGTTGGTGTCCTGCTGCTTGGTTTTTGTACCAAAGATTCGGTACACTAGTTATCTCCCAGCCTCCTTCCATAGCTTCGCAGTGCTGTGCCGTGTTGAAACTGAAGGGCTCCTCTTAAAGACGGAGCCGGATACGAGAGGGTGCATTCTTGGGTTTCCGGATTTGGCCTGAGCTGTGCTGGACTTAGGCTTCGGTGTCCTGCAAAATGCTTCAGGTGGTGCCGCAGACTCGCCGGGCAAACGTGATGACTGGCCTGTTGGAGACAAAGGCCTCAAGGGCTGAAGTTCTCAAAACTCTGAGACCCGAAGCTGTGTAGCTACATTTCGGAAGCCTGAAAGCGCAAGCCCAGGTGCTGAACCAGGATCTACCGAGTTTGATGTACTCCGAAGACCATCTACAGCCTCGCCTTCTGTGCTTGGCACTGGCCTTTTCCTGCGCTCACTTCTGCCCCTTTTTGCCATGAAAAGGCGCTTCGGCAAGAGGTCCAGCTGTCTCTGGGCGAACAGGACCAGCATGTTCGATGCCAGTGCTCAGGATTGGCAGTTGTGAGTTACAGCATGGGAAGTGTCGCTCGGGCCCTTCGGCCTTACAAGACTTCTTACTTCAAGGATCTACGGGGTGTTGTGAAAACAATTCAGGGCTTGGGGCGTTGGGTTTATAAACCGGGTTTGGGGTCAAAAGGGTTGTGGGTCCCAGCTTTCACCTTGGAGCCCCGAAGTCGACCCAGGAGATTCAGAAAACCAACCAGTGGCTGGACAAGTGGATCAATGGTACGACCGAGGAGGATGATGAGGCCTCGCCTGGTAATCTAGGATGCCCAGTAGTACCCTTATTCCCTTTTGCGTAGTCCTAGGTTACTGGGCATCCTAGTACTCGGTTTGAGTAGGTTATAATGGGCTGTAGGCCTTCAGTAATGTAGATGTCTGAGTGATTGGCAATGGTATCCCCATTCAGTCCCGATATGCTTCTTGCAGCACAATATAGTTAGCAGAGGGCTTGCTCGTCGTCATACTACGCACGCCAGACTTTCCCCGACCAAAAATCAACCCAAAAAATTCCTTGATACATTGAATAATTTAAATTGAATGTATCAAGCAGTATTATCCCTGCCTGCGCTGTGCCAATTCAAGGTGTCTCGGTGTTCCAAAATGCGATGTCCTTGTCTTCTTACTTAGCCAAATTCTACAAGTCTCGCACCAAAATTTATTCTTGGCATCTTCCACATCAGACTCCTCACCTTCTTCCAATTTTAAGTAATGTTGGTGTCTTATCGTTTTTGTATGTCTCTGGTATTGGTCTTTGACTACATACATTTCGCATAAGTCACACCAAGTCTTTTCTCTTTTATTCTCTAATATGACTTCTCGCTTCTTCTCGTAATACCTTTGGCATTTCTCCCTCGCCTTTTCTGGGTTGTCCTGTTGGTTTTTGCTACAAGCATCCGAGCACGGGATACAAACACGGCGCCCCTCCTTGAATTCATCTTCCTCCTTCTCTTTTCTACATCTGCTACATCGTTTGACAGTTTCCATACTACTATTTAATATAAGTATTCCTTTAAATGCTTTCTAAGACCATCTTTCCAATGGGCGTGCCTAGGTTGATAGAAACTATGGGTTTTTTGGGATTGCGGGGCAATGCTTCGCGTAATTCGGGGCTTGGGGGCAGTATGTGTTCATTCAATAATAATTTAATAATAAGATTAAATTATCATTGCTTCAACATTTATTGTTTCAAGTATTCGCCATAATCTTTTTCCATATCTTGAATACTTACATTAATCCACTTAATAGCATTCTTCGGTTTTACATCTAAATATTTAGTGTCTTTGCTTCCATTATTTAGACATATAATTTCAATATGCTCAATTAAATCTGAATATTTCTTTATTGACTGTTTATCTTCTTGAACTTTTTGTTCTAACATAGAAATATCATCTTTAACAGTACCAACATCTTCATCATCAAACACACCTTTATAGACTTTAAGTAACTTTAGTAGTTCATTAATTTTATTCAAATACTCTGTTTCATTTACCTTGATTTCGTATATCTTCTTGATATACTTCAATTGGGTCTTATAAGTTTTCAGATTTGTGTAGTCCATTTCACACTTAGTATATAAAGTTGTTATTTCTTTAAATGCCTTTTTCCTTGAACTGTTCAAAAATAAAAGTTCTTATCAGCATCATATACAACATTATAATATCTCATTGTTTCTTCCTTGGGTTGCTTTATGTCCTTATTATTAAGTTTGCTTATATAGGCACTCCTGCGATTATTATAATTAGCATCTGTGATATCGGGCTTATTATTAGGCTTGATGTTTTCCTTAATTTCTTCTAACTTTACAACCCTTTCAAGAAGACTATTAACTAAGAATGTTAATTCCGCTACTTCTTCTTTTAACTTCTTGATTGGACTTTTAATTTCTTGAGAGGATTCACTCATATATATAAACTTAGATTAAAAGTTTTAAAAGTTTTAACGCGCGTTAATAATTTGCTGTATTTTCCTCCTCTCACCTTCCTTCCTTAAGTCATCCCTGCAATATTTACAAGTTGTTGATTTGGTATTAATAGTAACATTTACAAAATTATTAGTTGGATATTCTTTTTTGCACCTCTTGCATTCCAGAAGGTGTTCCTTGTAATCTGTGACGGCTTCGCCCTGAGGGGGATGTTTTAACATCCCCGTCACCTCCCCAAACGCAACAATCATTATATAATTAAGTAACAAAATAATTCATAACATAACGAAATGTTATGAATTAAACCGGTTCCTCAAGATTTAACGATGCATCAAACTAATTAACTGATACATCTTATGTGTATCAAATTATATAGACGTACCAAGATACTCTCCCCTTTCTCTCGTCCATCTATGAATATGCAGTAGGTATTAAGGGAACTTGACTGCAGGGTGTTATTTTTCTTCTCCTTGCTGTTTCATTTGCTACATTGGGGGCACTGTACCTCTTACGAGCTGTCAATATATAGTATATTTTTATTTTTAATCCAATTTATGCAACTCGTTTTTAGCTATGTCTTCAATATCCTTTTTAATTTCTATTATGTCCGTCTCGCATTTATCTAACCTTTCCTCAAGTTCTTCTGGTGTAATCTGTGTTTTACCCCAGCCTGTATCGCATATTTCAACGCTTCCTGCCTGTAATGAATTCTCATCTTTAAAAATATCGTCGGGACTTGTGTGTCTTCCATTACCACCAAATTTAATATTTCTTTTATCAACAACAGTATCTGTTGTAACTGTATTATTTTCCTTCACTGTCTTCGTTTCCTTATGATAAAACTGTCTTTTAAATTTACAGGGGATACAATGAAAACCTTTTTTATCAATATGGATACCTTTATCCCTTCCGTTACTGTCATTTGATGTATCGCTCATTTACATTAACTAGATTTTTTCACGTTTTTAAGATAATAGCATACTGCTTTAAGAAACTCCAACAGACTATGACAACACATTCTATATCTTGGAGTTTTTATTACTTCATCTAACTTTTCTATTTCATTTATTACTTCTATGTATCTATCCATTATATATTTAAATGATATAATTAATCTATGTAATAATAATAATGATTACTCCTATAGTCAAACCAGTTAATGTTAAAGAATACGATTTTAAACAGTCTAAATATGAAATAGCTCCGAGGCTACCTTTTAGTCAAATAATAACAGGTCCATCAGGCAGTGGCAAGGGTATATTATTACAGTCAATGATACTGGACATTTACAGGGATGTGTTTGCTAGAATATACATCTGGTCCCCTTCAATTTCAGTTGATAGCAATTGGACACCAGTTAAAAGATACATTCAAGATAATTTAAAGGTTGATTTAGAGAAAGAGAAGTGTATGTTTGACGAGTATATACCAGAAGAATTAGAGGCAGTTATAAAAAGACAACATAAGGTAATAGAATACCAGAAAAAGAATGACCACAACAAATTACACTCAATACTTATTATTGTTGATGACTTTGCAGATTCAAAAGCGTTTTCAAGAAATTCTCCATTATTAAATCAATTATATGTGAGAGGTAGACATAATAGTATTTGCATAATAACGTCCACGCAGAAGTATAATGCGCTAAGTCCAATTATTCGTGTTAATAGTAGACAGTTATTCTTTTTCAGACTAAGGAACTATCGCGAAATTGAGACAATGGTTGAAGAATTGAGCGCGGTATTAATTAAGAAATCAACCGTAGCAGATGCTAAAAACCTTGCAGAAGCAAAGAAGCTATTGTTAGAAGTATATAACATAGCAACAGAAGAACCGTATAGTTTCCTGTTTATTAACTTAATGAAGCCCAATGTAAATGATATGTTTTACAAAAGGTTTGAAGCAAAAATAGTCATTGATGATGAAGACATATAAAGAGAAGATATATTAGGATATATAGGGATATGAATAAATATCATAATGGGAAAATTTACAAAGTTGTTGATGTTGGATACAACAAATGCTATATTGGAAGCACTACTGAAAGTTTGAGTATGAGAATGGCGAGACATAGAAGTCAGTATAAGAAACGGGAAGGTATGAAAGGTAAAGTTTGTTCTTTTCACTTGTTTGATATGTATGGTATTGACAACTGTAAAATTGAATTACTTGAGAAATTCAGTTGCGAAACCAAAGAAGAGTTATTAAAACGGGAAGGAGAATACATACAATCTTTGGATTGCATCAACAAAAATGTTGCTGGACGAACGAGACGGGACTGGTATGCTGATAATAAAGATTATTGTAATGAAAAATCCAAGCAGTATAGAATGAAAAATCCTGAAAAGATGAAAAATTTAGACCGAAAATATCGTGAAGACCACCCAGAGCAAATAAAGGAATATAAGAAACAGCATTATCAAAAAAACAAAGCGGACTATTATGAAAAGCACAAAACATATTATCAGAACAATATAGAGGAAATAAGAAAAATTAGAGGCAGAAAGTATACTTGTGAATGTGGTATTACTTGCAGTTTCTCTAATGTAAAAAGACACGAAAGAAGCAACAAACATCAAGAATATTTAAAGACATTAGAACCAGTTGATTAATAATATTATTTGTTCATAATATTATTAATTAAATTATTGAATAATTACATAAACTTACTGGGGGCAAACGATAATATATTTTGTCGCTTTTAGTTTCTTCCAAACGCTCTACACGATTTATAACATCTTTTAATGTATTAAATAGTAATATGTCTGTTTTAGTCTTTTCTTCTATATTTAATTCTTTTATTTGGTTCATATTCTCCGTAGCGCAGGTTTTTGACGATTTAGCACCCATTCTATATTATTATTTAGATAAAATTAATCTTTACTTTTCGCTTTTGCTTTTGCTTTAGGTTTAGGTGAGTCGCCCGTATCTTTGTTTAACTTCTTTACTTCTTTCTTTAGTTCATCTATCTCGTTAAGGGCGAATTGTAAAGCACTCCATAGAATTGGTGTAGTCATAGAATAATCAAACTTCAAATAGCCGTCTCTTCCTTCTCTAACGATATTACTCCATTCTTTCGGATATCCTTTATACTCCATCATCTCGTTAGCAATAAATCCACAACAAGAACGGTCACCGTATTTTTCTTTATCAATAAACTTGTATGTTTTAGGTTTGATGTTTTTGATTAGTTCAACTGCTTTTTTAGTTTCTAGCTCCTTAATATTTTCTTTCAACCTTTTATCAGAACTTGGGCCAATGGAACCTGTATAAGAAATGTCACCGATAACATCAATTCCTCCATCATTAACTGTTAATACATTT